TTATGAGACCCTTGTCTGAAATGTCATTGTCAAATGCTCCTCCCCCCCCCCCCCCATTTGTAGGTTTCCTTTTCATCCAACTAGAAAATGTTTTTGATTCACATACACAGCACAGGTCCCATTTGTTAGCTTTATCCTCTCCCGGTTGTGCATTTCTGACTATATTTGCAAGTTTATTTATGCTATAGGGTAGGGCTTTTAAGTTTGGTCCTATTTTGTCTCTTATGATTCTTACAGCTCTGGGCTTTATTCCAAGGTTTCTGATCTACCTCTAGTTGATTTTTGTGCATGGTATGCGAGATGGATCCCATTTCAGATTTCTGTAGGCAGATGTTGAGTTTTGAAGAAGTTGTTGTTTCCTCACTTAATAGGTTTTGATTGTTTGTCAAATACTAATTAACTGTGAGTGTTGTTGGTACGTGTCATTGAGTCAAGTAGGACTCATAGAGATCCTATGAACAGCCAACTGAAATCTGCCCTATCCTCATCTTCTCTGAGACACTAAGAGCCCACTGCTGATGTCACAATGTCAATCCATTTCACTGGGGATCTTCCTCTCCTTTGCTGACCCTCCATATTTCCAAGTATTATGTCCCTTTCCAAGGAATAGTTTCATCTAGTAACATGTTCAAAGTATGAAAGATGAAGCTTCATTATCCTTACTTCCAAGGAGCACTCTGGCCACAGCCTTAAAGGTGGTATTTGTTTGTTCTTTTGGCATCCCATGGGATATTAAGTACTCTTTTCGTGGACTACAACTCAAAGGCATCAAGTCTTCTTCTTTAATCCTTATAATCCTTATTCAGTGTCCATTTCTCTGATGCACAGCAGATGACTGAGAAAACGAAGGTCTGAATCAGGCACACCTTTGTCTTCAAACTGACATCACTGCTCTCCAGTATTTTGGAGAGATTCCTGACAGACTTGCCCAATGCAGTATGTTTCCTGATTTCCTCACAGCTGGTACAAAGGGTGTTGGTTGTTGAACTAAGCAAGATGAAATAATTGACAGCTTCAGTCTTTTCTCCACCTGTTATATTGATAGGCTTTTAGTTTTTTATCCATTCGGCTACTCTTTTTAATTGTTACCTTTAAGCCAATCACATTAAGTGTGATTATTGACAGGACAGGTTTTATCGTTGCCATTTTGCTGTGTTTGGTTTTCTGTTATTTCTGGTTACTATAGTCCATTCTTGAAAGCAGGAGTGGCATCTACTTCCTAAATAACATGCCTCTGGAAACTCTATGAATTTTGATAAATGTCAAATAGTTGTAGAGGTGCATCAAGCCTTTTGTTCATAGAGTCGCCATGAGTTGTGCTCGACTCGAAGGCAATCAGCAACAACACAGTCCATCCATTTTCTTTTGGGGTGTCTGAGTAAATGACTTCCCTTAGAATTTCTTGTAAAGTTGGTTCTGTTTTCACGGCTCCTTTAAATTCCTGCTTTTCTGAAAATTATCTAATTTCTCTTTCATATTTGATGGACAACTTTTCTGGGTACACGATCCTCAGCCAGCAATTATTTTTCATCAGTATTCTGTATATGCCAATATGCTGTCTTCTGGCTCACATGGTTTCTGCTGAGACAGCAGAGCTTAATCTAAATGGTTCTCCTTAGTGGGTGTCACGTGTTGTGGGGGTTCTTTGGCACTGCTTTCAGTATTCTATCCTTATCTTTGATTTTAAAGGATTTGACTATGATAGGCCTTGATGTTTTCCTTTCACAGTCTAATCTGTTTAGAATTTGCTGAGTTTACTAAAGGTGGATTTCTTATGATACCTGGGAAATTCTCTTTTAGTATCTCTCACTATTTTTGTAGTGATTTTCCTGTCCCCTTCTTGCTCTGGAATTCTAATTAGACATATGTCATTTCATTTAATGTTATCAAACATAATGCTAATGTTTATTTTCATTCTGTCTTCTCTGTGTTTTCTTCTACTAAGTTTCCATTGAAGTTCATTGTCTTTATAGTTCAAAGATTCTCTGTTCCACCTCCTCTGTTTGGTTTGTGGTTTGTTTTTTTGTTTTTTGTCCCTTGAGCTCACTGGATCTTGCCATTTTGGTCTTGATAGTCTAGTTTGCATTTTCATGTATTTCTGGTATTTCTACTACGTTGGCTGTTCTGTAATTATTTTTAAAAATTCTTGTACATCTGTATTTATGGTCAATTTATTCGTCCATAATTTCTAACTTCTTCAACAACTCTTCCTGTAATTCTGTCAATATATTTCTTTTGGCTCTGTGTCTCTGGGTTATTAATTTTATTTATGGTTTCAATTATTCCTTCTGTCATTTGTAACTTCTTCAGTAGCTGTACATGCAACTTCTTGATATATTTCTTCTGCCTCCCTGTGTCTGGGTTATTAATTGGATCTGTAATTAATCTGCTTTTTAAGGAGAAAGCTTATTTCTTTTTTCTTTGAGAAAATATTTTTGTTTGAAACTGTCTGCTGATTTTTTTAGCATTATGTGAAGATTTTCTTGGTATCCATGAGACAGTTTCTGTTGATGAATAAGTATGACAGAAGAACTGATGCCTTTGAACCTTGGTATTGGAAAAGAATACTGAATATCCCATGCACTATAAAAATAACAGATGTGTCTTAGAGAAAGTGAAGTCAGCGTACTCCTAAGAGTAAAAAATGCTAAAAGATTCATCTTATACACTTTGGGCATGTTGCTGAAAGAGTCTATTTGATGGAGAGGGACATACTTGGGAAGGTGCAGGGACGGTGACTGCAGCAATGGGCTCCAGTGTGTTAGAGACTGTGAAGATGGTACAGGATTGGACAGGGTTCAGATTTGCTGTTCATAGAGTCGTTATGTACTCAACTTGATGGCCTCTAGCAATAATAAGAACAAACTATTAACAAATAAAAAGGTATTTTTTACAAGTTTAATTTTAAAGGCTAATAGAAATTTCAAGTTTTCAAAACTGTCCTTCTATTTCTGTTAATATCCATATTAAACCTATTAGGTTAAACTTCAGCTTCAGTTTGCTCGGCTCCACAGTCAACACTCTTGGCACCAGCAGCCAGGAAATCAAAAAACGTATTGTGATGGGAAAGTATGCTGTTAGGGACCTCTCTAAGGTACT